GAGTTGCGGGCAAATTTAATCGCTGAGGCGAAGGAATGCGTGATGCGCTCGTGTTGCCGTAAGATGTACAATTGGATTAAAGTCGCGCCGTACAGCTGTGAGTTCCCCGAAGAAGAGGATGAGGAATGGGACACCAGTAAAGGCCTGCGCGTCATGGGCTTGTCTTACGTGCCTGATTATTCGCAGGCAGCTTTTACTTGTTTGATCGCGGCTGATGGAGAATGTACAGATTACCTGCGCTTACCGCATCTGATGAAGCGCAAGAACAGTTATCGCGAAAGCGAAAAGACGCTGAAGGAGGCCGATTTACTAGCGTTAAAGAACTTTATAGCCACGAAGAAGCCACATGTGATCGTGGTGGCTGGCGAGTCTCGGGAAGCAATGATGATCGCTGCTGATATCAAGGAGTGTATCACGCATTTATCGGAAGAAGAACAGTTTCCTAATATCCAGGTGGAGATATGCGACAATGAACTCGCCAAGATCTATGCCAATAGTAACAAAGGAAATTCGGAGTTTCGGGATTATCCGGAATTGTTACGTCAGGCTATTTCATTGGCGAGAAGGATGCAGGATCCATTAGTAGAATTCTCACAATTATGCACGGCTGACGAAGAGATTCTCTGCCTCAAATATCACAATTTGCAGGATCAGTTACCTAAGGAAGAACTGCTGGAAAATCTATATTTGGAATTCGTAAATCGCGTGAATGAAGTTGGCGTAGATGTGAACAAGGCAGTCCAACAAGCATACTGCGGCAACCTTGTTCAATTTGTTTGCGGTCTTGGTCCACGAAAAGGTCAGGCATTGATCAAGATGCTGAAGCAAACAAATCAACGATTAGAGAACAGAACGCAGTTAGTTACAGCATGTCATATGGGACCAAAAGTATTCATCAATTGCGCTGGATTTATCAAAATCGACACTAATAGTCTTGGTGACAGTACTGAAGCGTACGTAGAAGTGCTCGATGGTTCACGCGTACATCCCGAGACTTATGAATGGGCTAGAAAGATGGCAGTTGATGCACTGGAATATGACGACGAAGACGCCAATCCTGCCGGCGCTTTGGAGGAGATACTCGAATCGCCAGAACGCTTGAAAGATTTGGATCTCGACGCTTTCGCAGAAGAACTCGAGCGGCAAGGTTTCGGTAATAAATGCGTTACTCTCTATGATATCAGAGCCGAGTTAAACAGCCGATACAAGGATCTCCGTGTATTATATCAATCGTCGAGCGCGGAAAAATTGTTCGATGTTTTGACAAAGGAAACACCCGAGACTTTTTACGTCGGCAAGCTAGTGTTGGCTACCGTGGTCGGCATCAGTCATCGAAAACCACAGGGCGATCAACTTGATCAGGCGAATCCGGTGCGAAATGAAGAGACTGGTCTGTGGCAATGTCCTTTCTGTCTGAAGAACGACTTTCCTGAATTATCGGAGGTATGGAATCACTTCGATGCTGGCGCTTGTCCGGGTAAAGCTACCGGCGTGAGACTGCGACTGGACAATGGTATCTCCGGTTATATTCACATCAAGAATCTGTCGGACCGGCACGTTGCAAACCCCTGCGAGAGAGTCGGTATGGGACAAATCATTCATTGCCGGATCATTAAAATTGAGGTAGACCGATTCAGTGTCGAATGTACCAGCAAGAGCAGCGATCTCGCTGACAAAAATCATGAATGGAGGTAAGTAGATTATATAAACATACAAAATAATGTTAATAAATAAATAAAGTATTTCTATTTAGATCTATCCTTTTTGCAATCATGAATAAAGTTTGCAAAAATAAAAACAGATCATATATCTTAGTTTAAAATATAGTGATATAATTTTTTAAAAATATATTACCGTGTACATTATTATAAGTTATAATTTAATGTGCAGGCCACAGCGAGATCCATTTTATGACACCGAATCCGAGCAAAGAGATATAAAGGTAGAAGAGGATGCGAAGAAGGCAAAACAGCGGCAGATTTATGTGAAACGCGTTATCGTCCATCCATCTTTCCATAATATCAGTTTCGCCGAGACTGTTAAATTAATGCAGACAATGAAGCAAGGCGAAGCAATAGTGAGACCGAGTAGCAAAGGCGCCGACCATTTGACAGTCACGTGGAAAGTCACTGATGACATTTTACAGCATATCGACGTTCGTGAAGAGGGTAAAGAGAATACTTTTTCATTGGGACAAAGCCTGTGGATAGGCAACGAGGAATTTGAAGATCTAGATGAAATTATCGCTCGACATGTAAATCCTATGGCCGCTTATGCCTCCGAATTGCTGGATTTCAAATACTATAAGTCCACTGTAGAGGGAATCAAGGATAAAGCGGAGGAGATACTAAAAGAACAGAAAAAGGAGAATCCTAATGGAATTCCATACATCATATCAGCAGCTAAGGTAAAGTGTATATACAGTATATATAAGTGTATATATACAGCTAATTTTTTACTAGTATGTAACATAGCATTTTTCTGAAAATCTTTTTATTTTTAATTTAAAAAACAATTTCGTTTGTTTTTCTTTCAGACTTATCCTGGAAAATTCTTACTCTCATATTTGCCGCGCACTCGTTGCCGTCACGAGTATGTCACAGTGACATCCGAAGGCTTCAGATTTCGGGCGCAGATGTTCGGTAGAGTAAGCGATCTATTACGCTGGTTCAAGGAACATTTTAGGGATCCCGTTCCTGGACAATCCACTCCTAGTACACCGCGCGGTGCGATGACTTCTAGAACACCTTACACTACTACGCCAGGAACAGTCAGCGGTAAGTCTTTATTGTCATTGTAAACTATTGTCAGTCACTCTTAAATCATAGTATAGATCAAATTGTATATTTTATTTTAAAAAAACTTTATTTTTCAAAATTAAGTCATTTTGTACACATACACACATTCTATGTTATCAATTATTTTACTTACTTTTTCGCATACATTCGCTGAAATGAAATAAAACGCACAAGTACATACGATTTTGTCATAAATTAAATGAAATGTACAAATATATGTGTTAATTACTATTACAATTGCTATTGTTTCAGGAATGAATCAAGAAGCAATACAGCGAGTTGCACAGAATCTTCCACATCACATGTTGCATTCGTTATCACAAGTGGCGAATCAAACGCCACATCATTATCCGCCACACACCCCGGGAGCGGCTAGTACTACCGGCTATGGCGGAGGACATACGTATCCCAATACGCCGTACACGCCATCTGGTCAAACTCCGTTTATGACCCCGTATCAGACGCCGCATCATACGCCGCATCATAGCCAGCCCACTCCCAGATACGGTCAACAAACCCCTAGCCATCATCAAGGGCCCTTTGTACATCCACCGCCGCCCTCGATGACACCCAGCCATCACAGATCTGCTCAATCGCACAGACCTACACCGCCCTTGTCTACTCCTTCCGGTGATCCCATGGATTGGAAGAAGGCCGCCGAAGCATGGGCACGTTTAAAAAGCGGTCCTCGAGTCTCGTAAGTATAATAAGTAAATACGGATTAAATAACATCGTTTTCAATTTTTCAATTAAAAATTGTTGATGTATATAAGACAATGTTTTTCATTCGATTATCGTCAATGATTAAATGTGCTTGCAGCGGATCGACGCCTAGATACGAAGAGTCTAGAAAAACTCCGCGTAGCTATGACGAATCATCTGGTAGAACGACGCCTTCCGGAAGAAGTAGACCTTCCACACGTACTCCATCATATAAATCTCCGCGAGGTACTCCACACACAAATTCTAGTCCACGGAGTATGTCCCTCAGCGGAGATGGTACTCCTTTATACGACGAGAGCTAACGGGATTGTGCATAGCTGATTTATATTTATTAGTTACATCTCATATTATGCTATGTATGAAATAGTAAGAATACGCGTCGCAAAACATCGTCAATCGCTCGCGTCGAATCGATCATTGATCGTTTCATGCAACATGCGTAATGAATTCCACTTTCTTGCGGATTTTGTTTGCAAATCAAGAAAGGAATCGTCGATTGATTATTATAAACTACGGTGTTGTACTGTAATTTATTTATTATGTAATATTTCCGCGGTTTCTTCCTATGTACATAATAATAAAATTTTATGGAAACTTTATGAAGGCCTCACGAATACGCTCTGCAATTTCTTGATTCACTTTCCTATACATGACATCAATGAGAAAAATAATTTGAATAAAAAATTGGAATTTACTATAATTTTCGAACGGTTTTTATTTATCAATTACTATAGAAAGATATTAAATATATAAGTCAAGATAGAATCATAATATTTTACTCTATTAGATTTTATCTTTATCTTAGTCATCAAGATATATATTTTATATTAGTCATAATATTTTAACGGTTGATAAGATAGCGTTGAAAAATTATTGTAACTGAATTATTATTCAAAGATATATTTTATATTTTTCATTGATGCCATCATGTTCATAATATAGAGAATTGATCTAATTACTTATCGTATCAGTAATATAACATCTTTTGAATATAAATACTGCTTATTTACAGATTTCTATACATAAATACCTGGACTATGTCACAATCAGAAAAATGAAAGTATTCCAAATGGTCTCAAAAGAGGTAGTGACCGTTTTAAATAAATTTAAAGTTGTCGGTAATGATAACGCTACTTCATAAAATATATGGATTCACATGACATAACTAAAAAACTTGTCTCGGACTAATTCATAACTAGCACGTTAACGATCTAGATATTCTATAGAAATCTGTCCTATATATATTAAGTCTTTGTAAGAAAATATCTGTACAATATTTAATTGTTCAAAATAATGTCGCATTTACTTGACATCGTTAAAGCTTGCAGTTGATTTTATTTAATCCTTGAATAAAGACGAAAGATGATTATCTTTTGTATTTGTATCGACTATAAAAAAAAAAAGAATAAAATAACATTCAACATTCACAAAATAATATATACATATATGATGATAAATATGTAGAAAAATATTTTTTTTCTAAATTAAATTTTCGCGTGTTTGTTATCAATATACAAAATAATATACGGAATTACCGTCCGAGATTATACAAACGATTCTTCGTCTTCCGATAGGGCGTCTTCTGATTGCGAAATACTTTTATAATAATTACATGTGACATTTTGCCGCTTCCTTAATGCCATGGTATATCGTGATTCTGAATTTACATTTTTGTTTGTCTTAAGTTTGCGTACATACTGCAAAAAAAAGATACAATATAATTTTTTTCTTGAAAATATATGATAAGCAAAATGACTGTTTTGATTGATTTCAATGTTACCTTTCGCCGAGATGCTTTTTGCTTCTCTTCGCTGGAATCGGTAGAGCTCATCAACTTCCGTCGTTTGCGACGGACAGATTTCCTCGAGTTATCAGATCTCTTTGCATTGTTCGCAGCATTGACCTTATGTGATTTTTTAGGATCTTGAGACTTTTCAGTAACAATCATTTAAATTAAAAGAATCCATAAACTTTTTATTAATGAACTTATTTTTAACACAAATATAATTATACAAACTTACTTGATTTTTATTTATATCTGAAGTATTTGATTCAGGCATTATTTGTTTATTTACATTTTGCTTCTGTGATGTATTCTTAGAAGTCCCATTTTGTTTATTTGTTTCATCAGTGTCCTATATATTTCACAACAAAATATGTACAATTATAATAAAAGCAGATGTAAATATTTCTGCAATTATAGAAATTTTTACCACAATATTCCTTTGAATTTCTCTTAAGTTATTAGTCTGTGAATGTAATGATGATTTCTGTGAATTGCCTGGACTATAGACTGGATTGTTATCTTTCAACGTTATACGTTCACCTGTAAAAAAAATAATAGTAAAAATAGCTTTAGATTATTTATCTATTTTTGTAAAAAAAATTAATCCTTTCACATTTTTATTATTAATCTATTCACCTGTCCAGTAACATAACGGAGGTAAAATATGACGTCCCCTCGAACTAACAGGTGCATTCAGTGAGTCCACTGTCGCATCATGAGATTTCTGATTAATTTCTTGAATATTATCTAGAAAACAAAAATAAATGCAACACATGAACATATAATATTTATTAAAAGTTAAATACATTTTAAAAACTTACCTTGCTGCAACGTTTTCCAAGTCAGACAAAATTGCTCGATCTTCGAAGGACACCCATAACGACATTGTTTTACAAGTTCCTTAGGAATAACTAAATATGATAAAGCAATATTGTTAATTGATAAATATTTTTTACAACGTACAATGATACAACGTTAATGATTTCGGATACTTTACTATGCTTATTGTCGTTTAAATTTCCAAGAAGTTCAAAGAATTCATGATTCACTGATTCGATTAGTATCGCTGATAATCGCTTCAACACAATGTCTGTCGTATAATTTCTATGCACAACATGGCCAGCTTCACTATATAATAAAAAGAAAAAACATAAAATATATTGTTAATTATTACTATATATATATAATGTAACTGTAATCATTTGATTATTAGATATACCTATTATCTGAGAGAACTTACTTGACTAATTTTCCTTGAAAAGTTAAACCTAATCCAGATTTTGATTTCGCATAATATACTACTTTTGGCATCCACGCAGTCAACATTTTGGGATTTTTTTTAACTCCACACTGCTCTTTGCTGCTTTTAGATTGTTCAGTTATTGAATTCGTCGTCGGATTAGTAGAATTTATATCATGCAATTTATTATTATTTGTTATTGGATAAACCTCTCTTTTATTGTCAATTGTCTTCGTATGAGAATCATTGACTACAGAAGCGATTGACATGAAGTTCTTGTTAATGTTTTCCAACGGCCGAATATTCTGTTTATCGTTGTTGATTATCTTGGGAGGCAATTGCTCGGCAGTTGTATTCAAGTTTTCTTTACTTATTCTCATCTTCAAATTTACCGGTACCGAACTGATTATGATAGGTTTGGATTTTTTCATCACAATATCGTTTTTCGTTTGTTCGATAAATTCTTTACGTAATTTTGAAGAGACATTGGATTTTTCAGAAAACTCATTATTTTCGCTGATTGCTATGTTTTGGTTCATCTTAATCGGTGATGCTATTACATTTCTATCTGCTGTTCGTGAACTTACGGTTACAATGTTGACATCAGAATTGATGGTATAATCAACATCTGAAACAAGCTGTGAATGTACATTGTTTTGAACTCTATATGGAATATTTTGCTCCTTTGTAAAAACATCTGAATTAACTCTTTGTGTGTCAAAAGCATTAATTGGATATTTATTTTGCACATGCGTTACAAATTTGTCTTTCTCATACATTTCAAAATTTTTCTCTATTTCTCGGCGATTGGAATAAGTCATTTCTTGTGATCTTGGACTAATAGGTATTGTTTGGCGACACTTCCTCATATTGTATGCTGTTCCCACTTCATCTTCTGTTATACTGACGCAAGATTCATTTGAAAATAATTTTTTCTCTTCATTCATTGCCATATGACTGGACTTAGTTTCTTTTGTATTGTACATTAGATTCGTCACATGTTTTTGAGTGTCCGGATAAGTCGTTTTTTTTCTCATTTTACGTTTATATATTTTTCCAGGTAATTCTTTAGATTTTAAAACTGGTTCAATCGATATTTTGCGTATACCCGCATAAATCTCACTCTCCAATTTATCGGAATTGTTGTCGAGTTCAGGTCTAAGATTTACTGAATTCGATAACTGGATAGTATTAGAATTATTTTTTATGTTTCCGTATTCCGGATCAATGGAATGTCTCATTGTGCAGCTTTTTAATTCCATCGATTTGTTTTGAAGCTTATTAGTGTTCACGGGATTGTCATCACAAACTGAACTTTTTTGCAATGATATTGTTTCTGATTTATATGTTTCATGATTCGTGGAGATCATCGAATCGTTATTGCATTCCGATTCCGTTCTGTAAGACACTGCATAATCCAAACAATCCAACATCTCAATAATTTTGTTGATGTACTTTGGAGGGCAATTCTTGTCTGCCAAATTATTAATAATGATGTTCAGTTTATCTTCCTGAAGAATATCCTTCAATTTATTCACTTTCCTGCATGGAGGATTTATATCAGAATTAAAATTTTGCTTACTAGCTTCATCACATAAAGACTTCGTATTCTTTATTTGTACAACAGGAATTATATCTTTTTCAGAATTGTAAATAAAAGGCTTTATAAACGAAGAATTTTTTTCACAACTTGGAATACTATGAGTAGAATAATTACATATTTCCTTCTCTTTAGATATATCGTACATATTTTCAATCTTATTAGACTTGTTTAAGTTACAATATTTCGTTGCAGAAATAGTGTTCTTATTTTTTACATGTGCATAAGTCATATCTGTCAATTCGCTTTTTAAATCGTCATCACTGTCGGTAATAGGAGTGGGCCAACGAAACGTTACTGGACATCCTTGCTCGGCATATGTCCTCCATATTTGATGAACATTCTCCCAATCATCAGGAAAACCATTATAAAATTTTCCGCGAATATAATCTGGTAATCCTGTAATAAAATATAAGTTATTAATCTTCCATCAATTATTAAAATTTTGTACTTTCTGTTTTGTACTTCTGTACTAGCAATATGGATCTTTGAGTTTCAGTGCAGATTTTTATACTATAAACTATAAAACATTAAAAAAAATTCTTACATACTTACAGTTGTAGCGAGTGTTTATTATCGCAAAAGTCGGATTGCATTTTACTTATTTTTTTACAGATTTATATTTACCTACCAGAATATACAATCAAAAAATTGACTGTGCCTTCAAAGTCCAACTTGGTCAACAGAGAGTTAATGTAAACTATAAATTTTTAATGAATTTTATATAAATTATTACCATTTCTTTCATCAACAATATTCCCCGTCAGAATATATACATGCTTGTATTTGGATTCAACACATTTTGCAGAGTATCTTCTTATAACTGGTTTACTACGTACAACCTTACCACTGCAAAGAAAATAAACATTAACACTTATGCATTAAATATTAAATATTAATGCAGCATTTTATTTTGTACTTACCAATCTAAAGTTCCTTTAATTATTAATTCATAGTAATTGTTTAATGTAACTTTCCATTTCGAAAATACTCGATCAATATTCTGAGAATTATGGACAGAACTCAGTGAGACATAAGTTTTCTGATATTCTGGTACAGTAGATCTATCAGCACATGTATTAGTGGATATCCAGGTGGGAGCACTCTTCAAACATGTATTTACTGTTGAAGAGCATATAGATGAATCAAATGAAGGCAACACTTTTTCACAATTTGACAATGCACAAACACCATTTTGTGATTCCCGAACAGTGCGATAAATTGTGTTTCCCATTGGGGGTGGCATAGCAAGCCGATCGACATGATTATCCTTCTCGACATCATACTGTTTGAGACTAGATGTAGTCATTGCTTCTTGCTTAATATTGTGGCTCTTCTTTTTTAAAAATATATTTCTCAAATTATTACTTGAAGTTAAGACTTCGCTGTTGAACAAAGAAGTTTGTTGCAACGGTGTTGTAATACTGGAATCTAAAGTATCTGCATTAATACTGGAAATACTCGGCCAAGTTATTACAGTCGATGGTTTTCTATTGTGTACACTCTTGCTATGTTCATTTTGCAGTACAGCTAGTTTCAAGGTTCGTTGCAATTTCTTGAATCGTTCATCTGTTTCCAGATCTCCAAATTTGATCTACGGAAAGCATTAAAATATAGTTAGGCTCATAAGTTAACAATTAGAATTGTTATAACCTTCATATTAACAAAAACATACACTCATGATGATTGGCCATTGGACGAAATTAGTCCTTAGTCATATTCTTTATTGAGGGCATAAATTTGCAAGTAAAAATTTCACTTTTCGAAGAAAAACCAAAAGTAGGAAAAAGAAACTACAATGATTACGACAATGCAATAACTTTGTTTTGGTTCGTAGAGTATGTATAAAGAGAATAGGCGCCAATTAAGCGGAAGTCGCCATTTCCAACAAATATTTATAACGCAATTCCTCGTCTTAACCTTTTCTTTTTCTAACGCCGTCTTCTTCTACAGTTACGCTATAAATGGCGGAGCCAATCAGCATTAGGCACATGCATTGGCGCTACTCTTTTTACTTATTCTATTAGTTCGTAAACTCAAACGTTCCTGTAGGCCTATTCTGTAACTTTTTAATGACAATTTTATTAGCTCGGAATATCGTGTTACTCGGAATGTCGTATACGTATTTTACATGATAAAAAGCTTAAACACTGTTAAAGCTTAAACACAGGGAATAACGAACTATCCAATCAATCTAATATCAAACTAATCAATCATCAATATCAATCTAATATCAAACTTACATATCAGAGCTCTGATTGGACGGCTCATTATTCCCTGTACCTTGTATTTAAGCCTTAACAGAGGGGAATACTCGACTGTAGTTGGTTGGTTCTTACATTCTGATCCGGTTTAAACCCTCGATGGAAACTAGGCCAGATATTCGAAGTTGACAGAGTCAAGTTTTGGCACCCTGTTGCAATTTCTTGAATCGTTCGTTGGAAATTGACGAAAACGCCGTGCTGGCCGCGCAGCAAATATGCAGTAACCATTAAAGGACTGCACACAATGGGTACTACATTCAGTGCAACTGCTTATTGAACGCGTACTGCTCAGTGAACTCTTGCATCTAATTGGCATATTTCGTAGAACTAAATTCATAGTCAAATTTTATATTTAAAGCCAGCTGCACATATGCTTGTTTTCTTACTGGATTGTTAGCTGGATTAAAATCTTGCCATCGTATTGGCTGCAGTGTTATCAGTGCCAGTATCGCAGCCGATACGATGACAAGATTTTAATTTAGCTAGCAATCCAGCAGAAAAACAAGCATCGTGTGTTGCAGGTTTAAGACTGTCTTAGGTTCAGCCTTGAGGTATCATGAACCAATCAGAGGACCGCATTAGCGACTTAAGATAACGATCTTAAAATAAGAACCAACTGAATATCAACCCCTATAAGTTTCCGAGGATTTGAACCTTTGACTATTGTATAAACATATATTTATAAGCAAAGAAAGAAACAAGCGACACGGTTTGCGCGGTTCCTGTAATTATCTAGGAGAGGAAGTTTTGGAATGTAGCCCTAGTTATTTTCTGTACCGCGCTTCATGTAATCGCATAATCCTTGAAACGCATAGTTCCGATTTTTTTTAAAGTGACATTACGATCATAGTGGAATCAGCTGATCTATGCCATCGTTGACTCGCGTATTTGGTAATACGCGTAGATTACTACTGGTAAATATCGGAACATTATCTGGGTTATCATCCGATAACTTAAAAAATTTCTATGGCGATAACACGGGTATATATCCGTTTCCATTGTTTTGATATTTGTGATACACGTCGTCGCTTTTATAGGTGATAATGTCTGCGATAAATGTGAAGGCGCTCGCTCGTCAAAACGTCCGAAGATTCTTGAATTCATTCGATACCGTCTTGACAGATTGTGACGGTGAGTGAGGATTACGTGTGAACATTGGTTGGTACGATAATGATTCCTTAGGTATCTTTTTCAGGCGTACTATGGCTGCATATGACACCTCTGCCGCATTCGGCGGATGTTGTAAACCTGTTTCGCAGACTCGGCAAGCAGGTTTTCTACGTAACAAACAACAGCACGAAGACCCGCGATGACCTGGTAGAAAAGTGCAAGACACTTAAGTTTGAAGCGACCAAGAATGACATCCTATGCACTGCTCATCTGTCAGCATGTTATCTACAAAGTTTAAACTTTCGCAAGAAAGTCTACGTTATTGGTTCCGAAGGTGAAACTCTATCAACGACATTAGGAAATATCTGTTATTCTTTTCTGAAAAAACTATTCTCAAAATTTTTATATGAATTGGGAACTGAGAAAGTTTACATCCTTAGAATTTTGCATATATGCGAATTTTGAAATATTCTCTTACTATAATTATATATATTATATTATTTATATATTGTATTATATAATATTTCTCTTTCTATAATTTCTATTCTGATATACTTTTTCAAATTTTATAAGATTTTATAAGATTTTGTTCAAAATTATAGAATGAGACGTTTTTCAATTTCAATTTCATTGTCATTCAATGGCATTTATTTTAAAATCCATGTATATGCAGAGTGAGTCTGATAAAGAATTCAAGTTTTTCTTGATTAGAGATAGAGGGAAGACACTTATTATCAAAATTGACCATGATCCGATTTACGCTGATAACGCTCATTTAACATTTGACAAACAACAAGAATAAAATGATTTTTAAGCATTGTGAAGATGAATCGGACCGCGGTCATTGTAGAATGAATAGGGGGACATACTTTGATGACCTTGAGTAATTGTCCTTGATTTTCATACTATCAATAAGAATTTTTTTTTTAATGGGAAGAAGTATTTTTTATTCATTCGATGGTGTTCAATGAATAGAATAATTTTGCATTATAATATTTTTTCGAAAATTCAACTATTATTGCGATATAAATCAAAATAAGTCAGATTGAAAGTTTGCAACAATTTTTTTATTGCAATAAATGTTTAAAATGTTTACCATATCTAGACTGTAATCTTCTTGAAAAGTTGCTTGGACGTCTTCTAACTCTTGAGAATCGTTATTTCTTGAATTGTTATTCAGCTCATTGAGCACTATTGATAAAATGAGTAAAAAATACCCCTTCCCATTAAACAAAATTTTTTTTATTGGTAGTATGAAAACCGAGGACATTTAAGTTACTTAAGATCATCAAAGTATGTTCCCTTCATCCTACAATTTTGATAATAGATGTCTTCCCTATCTTTAATCATTTTGGAAAAAAACATGATATTTTTTATCAAATCCACTCTGTATATAAAAAATTCTAAAAAAGATGTGACTTTGTTAGCATTAAAATAATACTTTGTTAGATTAAAAAGCTTATTTTGCATTAAAAAATCCGTGAAATTTTATTTAAAAAATTATAAAGTTATTCAGAAATTGGGAAAATTACATGAAAAATTTTCATAAGGTATGCAATTGTTTTATTCTGATATTAATTTTTATGCAGCAATTGCGAAAGAATTGAAGCAAGCTGATATCTCATATTGTGGAATAGGGCCAGATCCAATTAATCAGAATATCCCATATTCCGTTTTCGAGAAAGATCCTGAAGTAGCTGCTGTTATAGTCGGATTTGATGAACACTTCAGTTATCCTAAAATGGTAAAAGCAGCTACATATCTAAATGATACCAATGTACATTTCATTGGCACTAATACAGATGAAAGATTTCCAGTTTCAAATGACGTCGTAATACCTGGTAGATATTGAAATAACTTTCTTAATTACCTTTGTATAACGTGTTAATTAAAAATCTGTAACTTTTTTACACAGGTACGGGAAGTCTAGTCAGATGTATAGAAAGTTGCTCAGAGAGGAAAGCAATCATTATGGGCAAACCAGACAAGTACATGGCTAAGATGTTGATAGAACGATCTAATGTCAATCCTCAGCGTACTTTAATGATTGGAGACCGATGTAACACCGATATACTCTTTGGAACTCACTGCGGTTTTACGACTCTGTTAGTCTTGACAGGAGTAACCGCATTGTCAGACGTTGAAAGATGGAAGCAATCCGAGCGACAAGAAGAACGGGATCTTGTACCAAATTATTACATAGACACGCTTGGCGATTTATTGCCGTATTTAAAAGAATTGGAAATTGAAATATCGTAAACTCACAAGATTTAGCAATGAAGAACAAAGAAAAGTATGTGTGCCATAACTCTTTACTAAGTAATAATGTAACTTTTTAGAATACGCTGCAACATGTATACATATGGATATGTATCTCACGCACACATATGTACACACACACACACACACACACACACACACACACACACACACACACATATATATATATATCAATATGTATAGAATTAATTAACACAGATAGAATCTTTTTAATAAATTTTAATTATTTATATTAATTATATATATATATCAATATATATAAATCAATAGATTCTTTTCTGTCCATAATAAATTTTAAGAAATATTAAACGTAAATATCTTGCAATCTATCTTTATTTATTTAAATTTTCCCTCGCCAAAGGAATAGATAAATAAACTGCGAATGTTAGAGCGAAATAAATGAAAATAATTTGAAGTTTCGAGTGTAGACGGAGGTATGAAACAAGGAAGTAAATTTTCCACTTTAAATCTTCCAACACCATATTTATTTTGGAAATGCCTT